GCTTCCTCGCCCGCGTCGTTATTCACTGTGTCACGATGAATATTAGAATACACAGAGCGTATTCCCGGTAGCTCTGACCTACAGCGATAGATCGTTTTCATCTCCCCGACGATCGTAACCGATAGACGAATTCCACGACGGGAATCGCGGGAATTACTTTTAACCGCGGCTTCGCCGGTTTCCCCCGCCGTTTTCCGTGGATTCCGTGGACGGCGGGAGACGCCGTCGCACGCGCGTAATTGCGTAACTCTGTGAATTTACGCGCGTCGCATTATCCCCCTTCGCGCTCGCTTATAAAGCCCGACATGATCCAGGCGTTGCATCATGAATGAAATCGCGGGACCGTGCGTTGGTCCACTAGAAGCGAGGGATGTACCGTGAATTATTCATGACATCGAATAAAAACGTAAACGACAAAAGACGAGCGCTCGCGATATTCCTTTTTTTCTTTTCTCCTCCTTCCTCGGCGAACTTTGCGAAAGAGTTCGCCAACGACGTCGTCGCCGTCTCGTCTCGTTTCTACCGGCGACGACCGGGCCATCGGGCGGATTCGAGAATTCGCGGATTAGCGAATTCGCCCCGGGAAATCATCGCCCGAATCATCGTGCGGGACCAAAGCAGTTTACGATTCCCCGCGCGAATCTAATCGCGGCGCTACGCCGTAAAACTTATTCCTCGCTCCTCGTTATCGGACGGTCGGGGCGGAAATGACATTTTTCGCGTTAAGGCTACAAAAGCCCGGGCATCCGATAGCCGTCCGGCTCTCGCCGCTCCCGCTGGTAGCAGGGGCCGCGAAAGAAAATTATCGTCGAAACTGGAGCCGTAACATTAGGAGCATTGTATTGTTGTGCGAGGCTACGACTCTCCGGGGAGTAGGTTGGAAGGTCCGCTCGTCCTTTTCCGACTCACGTTCCTCCTCGGCGACGACGGGCGCGCGCGCGCGAGCTCATACAGACTCGTGGGCTCATGGACGCGGAAATACAGATGGAACCGGGACGTACCCTCAGGTGGTGCTTCGGACCGGCAAATGAATCGTTTAATTGAATTAGTCGATGAGCCTGCGCTACGACGCGCATTATAATTTCTACGGTTGCCGATACCGTTTCCCCCTCCGCCTTGTCGCCGAGAGAAATCATATCGGAGGATCGTCGTCGAGGATTGCGAAGGGGTTGCAAAGAAATTGCCAAGATTTTCCAGGCGGCGTTATGATTTTTCCGACGACCAGTTCGGACTTTGCGCAGCAGACATATGGCTAATTCTATCAATGTAGATTAGAACTTTAATCTTATTTTTTGTTTAGTTGTAAGAATATAACAGAAATGTAGTAGACTTTTTGAATAAAGAATAAATTAAGCTAAGATTAAAGTTAATCGACACACAGATAGAAATGAGTGGTATATTCGTTTTCTAAAATATTTCCCATTGTGTTCCTTCGAGATCGCGAAATAATCGCGAGGGAAATTCAAACGAAATTGCGATACACACGTTGCAGATCTTAAAGGCTCTTGTTGGTCGGATGGATAAATGTCGCGACTCTCGCAAATTTTAATGCGACTTTCACGAGAGAAATCATCGAAATACCAGAAGATTACTATTGACATTTGAAAAAAAAATTATATTTAAAGCCGAGGGAACGTATGCCACTGGCATCGTGTCAAGAATCGACGCATTTTCAGATTCGATAGATATTTTCCATAGGGGGGATAAAAATCTCACATGATAGGAGTCGCGCAACCGTGAATCGAGATTCTCTATGGGGTTATCGCGTCACGGATTCCATCGGCGTAGGGAAACGGCGTTGTTCGCTTGGTGATCCAGCCGATTATTACCGGTGCAGCTGCTATTTTTCGTATCTACGGCGTGCGGAGGAGATCCGAAACGGAGTCGGGGAAACGGGGAAACGGAAGGCGGCGGGGGTGGGTCCGAGGGTGAGAGCTCGTCATAGCTCGCTGCTGAATTATTGATGGGCAGCACTTAGAGAGGCGAGAAGACGCGGTGGCGGAAGGCGCCTCCACGTTGGTAGGTCCTTCTCGAGGATCGCCAAGGATATATACCGGCATGCGACGGTTGCGCGAGGGATTCTGCTATCTCCGGTCCCACGGGACTCTCGGGACCCGCGAGCCCTTCGCCTTACCGCCCTCGCCGCCCAATTCCGACCAATTTGGCCGAAAGTTGGGCGTAATTTTATTTTCACACGTCTGCAGACGCGTTTCGCCGCGGCGGCCGAAAAGGAAGGGCGACTTGTGCTTAGCTTCTCTCCGGTTAAGTTCCGTTCCTCCTGGGGAATGGACCCGGTCAAAGGAAACGAAGGAAGAAAGCCACGTTCCCTCTTCCACTCTTGTGTTCTTTATCTTTGCCAATCGGAACCGTCGGAACCTTTTAATCATCTCAATTTGATACGCGTTCACGTGACGGGAAACGACGGGTTTCTACCGTAAGCACGCGTAACACGTAGGAGAAACTCACACTTGTCACGGAACCTGAGTCACGTTTGTATTGTTTTAACGCGGAAAGAGGAGCGCGTCTTATCATATCCGGCTGATGCAGCCGAGGCAGGGATCGTGGTGTCAAGCGCCGACGGGAAAAGTTTAGCGCAACGCTCGAATGCAAATCGTGTACTCTGTCATTGGGCGAACGACCGGGAGCGGAAGGGAGGAATCTGTCATTATCCCTTTGGGACGAAAACGAAAGCCCCGTGAACGAAACTTCTCCGGGGATAGGAAGGATCGAGTGTCGCGGAATGCCTGTAAAATGCCAAAACAAGATTCTGACACAGTGGTAGCTCTTATATATATATATATATATATATAGAGCTGGGGATATTCCGTCTTTCTCTCGCCCTTTCTTCTCGTTTTTACGACTTCCGATCCCCGCTCGGGCGGCAGCCGAGAATGGTCATAATGGGTTACCATCGTGTTGGCACATCGCGCGCGCGAGGGAGAGACAAAACTCGGGGCGGGGAAAACACCGGCGTTTTTACAGTCGTTAAGCGCAATGGCGAACGAATAAAAATCCCATCGCGTTTCGTATCATTTCGGCTTCGAACCGCCGCTTCCGGCGCTTCCGCCAAGCGGTGGTCCCCGGCCTCCAAACGACGGGAGTTAGTTAATGGGCTAAACTCTCAACTCTCTTGATACCTTCCTGGGGACAGATCTTACTGTCGGGACGCGAAGTTACGCGAGAGTTTCTCCGATTTATCGGGGTCATCCTCCTCCCTTCCCCCCCGAAGGAAGGAAGGGTTAATCGCGGCTCGGAATGGAGAACAGCTGATAGCCGGCGCGTTAAAAATTGGCATTTAATTATACGCGATGTTTCCCCTGCGAATCTCGAACGATTCGTGCTCGGCGTTCGCGAGTCCGCCGGGGAGTCCGTTGGGGATGGATACTCGTCGCGATTTAACAAAGTCTTCGCGTACATCCTGGAAAGTAGCGTTCGTTTCAGCGTGGTCCACCCGCGTCGGTTCCCCGCGATTCGCCGTCGTCGAAGGTTAACGACCAAGCGGTACCGAGAAACGGCGCGTAGATTACGCGCGACAGCCGCCGTCGCCATTTCCAATTGGCCGGCGTTTACAGTTTAAATGTAAAACCGAGCAAACCCGAGGGGCCGTCCGCTGGGCGTGGTTACGTTACGCCGATGTTCACTACGCGGATACGCTCGTCGGCTTGTCAGTAAACATGGGCTTCATAGCGTTTGAATAATGTATGCCGCTTAAGCGGCGGCCGCAACCGCGCGACACAGCATCGCCACGCCTCTCTGCCTTTATACCTATTTGCGCGACCGCATAATTTCACCCTCTACTCGTGCGCATTTGCGCGAGATAATCAACGCTCGTCTCCGTCGCGCGTCTCGAGTGCCATCGATGCGACGAACGACGGGCGTCCCGGTGAAAGAAACCGCAAATCGGAAACGCGGAATGGATCCGCGGACCGATCGCTGTCTTTCTCTATGGCTAAAATTTAGGAAACGAAATTCGTAGACTCTTATGATTATCATCTAGAATGTTCATTCAACTGCTAGTCTTTTCACCGACATTGCCAATCTGAGCGAATTGAGTTAGCTTTTACGCAGGCGACAATAGGGGGTTGCATTTTCGCACTTGCAATTTGTTTGAGTTGTAACTACGGGTGGATGTGGTGTCCTAGGGACTCCTATACGAAAAGAATAATTGTGCTGGCAAATCTAAAAATTTGACCAGACTGGAAATAATTTTGTTGTCCATCAAATTGTTATATAGGACGTTTAAATATTCATAGCAAAAAAATGAATCTTAAATCATGACAAATATTCTCATATAAGCAAGAATATTGGATATTATAATCTTCTTAAAAATTTTAATTTTAATTTGATTGAATTGTATGGATATAAGTATTACTTTTACCCAAGACTAAAAAATTCTTCTTCTGAAGATAACTTAATTTAAGATTAATTTTTTTCTATATGATAATAGTTCAATATTACAAAAGTTTTGATTTCTAGCAACCAATTTGAACATTATACATGCCGCATTCGCGAATGTAGCTATTCTACTTTTCAGCATTAATTGTATATAGAATCAAGTTTTATTTATTTTCTAAAAAAAAGTGATATAATTAGTCAATATTACGAAAGTGAGTGACGGGAATTCTAGAAACTCCACATCCACAGAATTAAGCGTTAACACATTCACGTTCAATACTTAGCATTTCCTTTTTTCTCGAGTAGGATTGAACACAATAACCTCTGATCTTTATCAATTAGACAACTAGTAGATAATGATTGAATAATTGGAATTGTCCCTGTTCAGTAATATCCTTTTATTTTATGAAGCCGGCCACTTTCCTATCAGCTCAATTTTCCCCGCGGCAGTGAATGTGTTAAGGAAGTTAAGCGTTGACGGATTAGAGATTTTTTTTTCTGGGGACTGCTCTCTGTACGTGTAAAAGAATCGCGATAGCGTTTACTGCGATCCAAAGAGACGCGCTTGCTTCCTCGCTGTAACCGTGCGCGTGTTTGCATTACAGCATCTTGGAGTTGCGCAAGGAGAAGAGCCGGGACGCGGCGAGGTCGCGACGAGGTAAAGAGAATTTTGAGTTCTACGAGCTCGCGAAAATGCTACCACTACCGGCGGCCATCACCTCCCAGCTGGACAAGGCTTCCATAATCAGGCTAACGATCTCATACCTCAAACTACGCGACTTCTCCAGCCACGGCGATCCGCCGTGGTCCCGCGACGGTCCACCGCCCAGCAAATCTGTCAAAGGTAAGACAACGCGATGTGTTTCGCCGACGATATAACGAGTAAGTGTTCGTTTGTCGTTAATCGTTGCACAGATGGCAAAAGGTATTTCTTATATCGCCCAACGAGTCTACCAACGTAGATTTACTTTAATCTCTTATTAATTTAACTTGCTTCTCATCTTTTTCTAATTCTTAAAACTAGAAAAAGGTGAAGAGTAAGTTGAACTGAGATTAAAGTTAATTTACGTTGGTGGAATCGGGCATTAAAAACATTGATTGCTAAAAAATTAATTTTGTTGAATGAAATTATTTTTATGGAATTGTCTCGTCGGTAGAGTAAAAATGTACGTTTTTGTGCTTATAAAGCGAAAATTTTGCTAAAGCGAAAATGCTCTTTAGCCAATTTAATCAAGTGATTAATTCATGTTTCTGTGATTCATATTCAGTTTTCTCAACAAAATTTTTTGACAAGCGTCACTGTGAAATTAAATTCTTTCTTCTGCACGAGACAAAATTAACGTCAACAGCGTCAAAAGAGAATATAATAATCTTTGTTGAATTAATATATAATATGTATAAATTTAATTTTATTAATGATTTTGAGTTACAAAAAATATTTTTTATCAGCCTTGTCGCTGTCAGTATATCATTTTCTTTTTGACGTAGCGAAGTTCGATTTTTCTCACATTGAAAATGCATTAACAAACACTATCACTAAAATCATTTTGTTTTAATTTATCGCGATAGACACGGATTTTTGCTCTTCAAGCAGCCGGTTCGACGATGATATATCTGCCGATGATGTCTCTTGATGGATCAGCGTTTAACCTCGGGAAGGGGGAATCATCCGGACTGTTAATAGGGATCGGGACCCGTATATTCCGTAGACCTAACTTCCTCTCTGGGGATAAGAATAAGAGAGGAAGTCAGCCGCGTTATAATTCCTTTACGCTCGCGTCGTCTGCAGTGGAGTAGACTGGCATTGCGGCGGACACATGCAGAATGTATCGTCGGGATATTTTATCACATGACACGCATTTCATTTTCAATATATACGAAGAGAACTGGATTTTTAATAATCGAATACTTACGTAAACGCACGGGTTTGGTTGCGCAGATTTCGAAATTTGAAACGAAATAAGAAGTAAGAGTATGCCGCGTATTTATAATATATATATTTTATTTTACTCCATACAAGTGTTTGTTATCAAGAACTTGATATTTCATATTAGTTTCAATTGTAGTTTAAAACGAAATAAGAAATAAAAGCGGAAATAAAAGATGCGCGCGATATAAATTTATAATATAATTTTTATTCTTCACTCATGTCATTCTAAAAATTTGATATTTAGCAGTTAAATATAATAATATACAAATTCGTTTTAAATCGAAATATGAAACAAACATAAAAATGAGAAAAGTAAGAAAAATAATAAATTTACTTTTTGATGCGTTTTGTATTAAAAACTTGGCTAAGATAAATCGATTGAAATTTAATAAAGTAAAATAAAATAAGAGATGGAAGTAACAAAAGCGTCGCAACAGCAAACTCTTAACCTTGTTTCGGATGATGTCTTCTCGCTAGACACGTGTCTTCTATTATCAGACAAAACCGACATTGTCATGTCGCGGCGTGACGCTGTAATTCGATTTATAAAAATGTGTCCCGGATAAAGAATTTTTGCAAAACGCCTTTACGTCACGTCTTTGTCAATCGCTTGGCTTGATGAAGTATTTTTCGTCTACATAATGTAACGCGAAACACAGAAAGCATCGGGACGCAATGAGGGTGTGTCTGACAAAGATCGTGGTCAGTGGTCCTCCTTAAAGAAACACGTAAGCTTCGCAATAGATCGAGCTTTCAGATACCCTTTATAATTCCGGTGGCCATGCAGCCGGCGAGAGAGATAGATTTCTAGATACATAGTAATAGAGAATTGTCGGCAATCATCGAGCGATAAGATCGCCGCGGGCCTCTTTCATTTTCGTGCTTCATTTAGCGAAAAAGGGAGCAGCTACCAGCTTACTTTAGCGCACTTTTTTTGCTCTCACGTTTTTTTCGTTCAAGTTAGTCGAAGCGTACCGTTGCTCTCGTCACCGAGGACTTACGTTATATCCCTCGTTATATTAACTGATAATCGAACCGACTTTCCGAGAAAGAATAGACGATCGTTTTATTGTCGTTAATGTATGTCTGCTACTTGTCGACGAAAGAAAAATCCTTTTTCGCACGCGAGAGATCGTAAAGACACCATTGTGTGAAGTGGTCGGGAAGCTTCACTTACCCGCGGAAAGCCACCGCATATTTTCGGAGTGCGAAGGGCTGGTTGAGTTAATATTTACAATGCGGGAGGGTCGCGTAAAAGATAGAGAGAGAGAGAGAGAGAGAGAGAGAGGA